AAAATATAAAAAAACATAAGTTTAAATCAACATACATAATAACTTTGTGCTTCACTCATTGGTCCAGCAGCGGGTCGAGTTTGACCACTTTAATTAAAGTTAGTAGAATTAATCATAATTTATTAGGTATTTACAGTAATAGGAAAAACAAAAATTAAACATACCCACTAAATACTAATAATGCCTTTGTATTTTGTTGAGCTAATTCTAAACCTTTTCTTATATGATTCAAAAAAGTTTTCACATGTCCACCTTTTTGGAAATTCTCCAAAATCCAGTTGTCATCTTGCTCCACCTTTTCTAATCCGTTACCTAAATATATGGCATGTCCAGCAACTATTATTAAATCTTGGAGATCTGAATGTGATGGATTAGGAAGTATGAAAGAATAATCAAGATTTGTAATAGACGAAGATTCGGATTTATGAAAAAGTAAAAAATTAAAAAGATTAATAAGAAACAGGATTAAAATAATATAAAAAAGGCCGATAATCAATAATTGCTTCGAACTCCTAAAAGTTGAAGTAGACTTTGAATGTTCTTTGTATAAAGGAAGTGAGGAATGAGGATTACTTCTTGAAAATCGCATTTTGTAGAAGCTTTTTTTTTTTTCTATTAAAAAATACCAATTATATAACTTTTAATAGCTGCAACCGAAATGAAGTATATTATGTTTCACATAATTATTGATATACAGTTTCACTAATTTTAAATTTGTCCACATTATTAACATTATTAACATTATTAACATCATTAACATTATTAACATTATTAACATTATTAACATTGAAAAGCACATACGTAATGTATATACGTACGTATACATGATGCGGATACGTAGAAAAATCTACAGATAAAAAAATGGTCCATCACGGTCAATACGTAACAAAAATAGGAAATATTAAGGCTAATTCAATTTCCTCAAAGATAGTATTAAAATTAAAATTGGATACGATCGCTATATTATAAAGGCATTGTTACAATATTCTAGAAATAAATACTAGTGTACCACAAATGATAATGACAATTTTAAATTACGTAATAACCGCTATTAGTAAAATTAATAGTATCGTAAATATGCTTATACAGACCTGGGGGTCTATTTCATTTCACCAATTTTTAATCCCCAATTTTAGTACACTCTGAGAGGTTATTCGTGAAAGGAAAATTTTTAAATTGCATAAGTACACAGCGTTCCAATCCATTAAGCATTTACCCGAATAACTATCAGACATCTGGATAATTATACGGATGACGGATTTATCCGGATTGGATCCCTACGTACGTACGTACATACTTTATACTTTTAATAGGCAGCCTAGCTATTTGCATTTAGTTAATAATAAAGATTCCGTGGTACGCAGCAGAGTCTAATTCATAGTGGATCTACTATTTTGTGGGATCTTGTATAAGTTTATACGCATTTACAATACGTGCGTACATATGTACTATTACCGTTGTAGACTATGAATTGTTGTTCAGTAAATACTTATAGTAGTTAATTAGCATCTTTATTCTTAATCTATACAGAACGAATCCGAGAAGACTGATAAAAATAATTAACCTTATTTACTACTGTACTAGCAGGCAAAGATTTCAAGACAATCTTATTATCCGGTTCATTATTTCAATATACATATTTCTTAATTAGCACATAAATATTTTCTAAATAATATCACAAAGATTCCACATTGTGTTATGTACGACGTACACACGCACGTAAAACTTTAATTATTTTGTATTTTTGTACTGCATTTGCAACGTTACGATATTATTTTCAAACTAAAACATATTTAGATTTCATTGAATACTTAAATGAGAAAGAAATTCGATTGTATCATTTAACAAAGGGGGAAAGTGGGAAAAGACGACATCAAATATGATAAAATATCCAATATTGATTTTATTTGAAACAAATTACAGAAATCTAACAATTATTAATAAGCATATATATATATTCACATGATACTACAAAGATACACAAAGAACTCCAGGTTTTATATATCTACATATATAACTTCTTATAACTTATAAATTCGTGCGTTAAAAAATTACATTACGAATTGAAGATATCACTGTTTTTTAGGAGAAATTGGAATTTTTTTTTGTTGAAATGTAATGTTAACAACATTCTTCAAAGCAACAGCATAAACATGCACCGAGAGCACTATAGAAATTAATTAATTCGTAATTAGTGATTAAAATGGTGATAAATAAAATATAAAATGTTTAAAAAAAAATGTTGTAATTATGATTATTATTAACTAACCATCCTAAACATAATCCTTCATTATCTTTCTGTTTTTTTGGCGGTTGTTGTTGCACAACAACTTGAGGTGGTGGCTAAAGAAAAATTAATTTTAATTATCAAGCGTTTATTTAATTAATAAATGCATAAGCCAATTATGTAAAATAAATGCTTTAAAAACTTACAGTTGGTTGATAATAACCTATAAATAATAAAATAAAAAAGAAATTCAATTTGTAAGAAATTCAATTTTATACTGTATTTGAATGAAATCAAAGACATTTAAAAAAATGTACCCTGTTGTTGTGGTGGTGGTGGTGCATATCCCTGAGGTGGAGGAGGAGGATAATACTGTTGATTTTGAGGTGGATAATAACCTTGAGACATATTTTTTTTTACAAAAACTATCGGATTTGTAAAAGAAATTTATTTCTTATCAAGAACTTTTTATGGACTATTTATTTTTTTTTTTGTTTACGGCGCAAGTAAAACCCTTTTATCTGGGGTTATCAATGAAGTCCCGTTTTAGTGTTGCATTGTACAACAAAATACGTCTTACTCAAGTAAAGTACATACATATAGGGGCTATTTATAAATTCTTTGTAATAATTCTTGGCACAATCAAAAAAATAAATCTTTTATCAGATACTGTATCTGCTAAAAATGATTGCTAATTTCTACTTTTGGAAAGGTCAACCTGCATGCAATCTGCAAAACCCCCTTTTTTCAGGATCTATTTTACTTGCGGCAAACACTGTGTTAGGCAAATTTACACAAGATACTTTGCACGACAATTAATCCATTTCTGCTTTTTGCGGAATTTTACTTATCTAGAAAATTTGAATTTGAAAAATATGTCATTTTGACATTTCGTGCGTGCGTACATACGAGATATTTCTCATAACTTGATATAATACGAGTACGCATTGTTCTAAATGAATACACTTTATTCTATTATTGTAATACGCAATCCCTCATGACTTATTACAAACCTGTGACTATATTATTATATATATACGTATAATTATAAATTATCAATTAGATGTAGTCTTTTTTTTTTTTTAGACGACTAAATTTTCTAAACTTATGATTTATGCCTGGCTACGTAGAAGCTTTAAACAATTTTGTAAATATAAGTATATATAGAGCTTATTAAAATTTTATATGTTAAAAAAAAACAATTGTTATATAATTGTTATATAATTTTTATATAATAGTTACCATGGATCACCTGGTCTCATGTCCAGATCCAAAATCTCATGGATAATCCAGATTTTAAGCTGATTGGCCGAAATTATCTTATCATTGACGTCAAAATTATAAATCTGAATTTGCCTTTTCGGCACCAATTGACTATTACTGCAGTTTTTGATCGAGATTTTGGATTTACCAAATCAAAGATATATTCATATCGATAATTTTTTATGATAATAATATTGAATATTGTTTAAATATAAAATGATATCATGGCAAATTCCAGCTGTTTGTGATTCGGCAAATGACGGAACTATCGAGTTTGGGTTACATCACTAATTGTATTATGTGATTCTTGGCTGGGTTTAGATCTATCCAATCAGATTTGGATCTAAATAATTGATATCAATATCTGCTAGACTGAAGCTGAAATTCGAAATATCTAGCCCAGCCCAGCCTATGCGAAGCCCTACTGTTATAGTGCCTGCAGCTTTAAATCATAAAAAATGGCTTTACAAAAAATACTACTACTTTTTTAAAAATTTATAAAATGTAAAAATAAATTACAATATTCTGTATTGTTTTAAAAACAAACCGTGTTTAAATTTAAACTAATAATGTAATGGTTTCAAAGTTTGGCTATTTTATTAAAAAATTGTAAAAAAAGTCAACTTATATTTGACCAATTAAATTATTAGATATAGATTACATAATACTGTAATATGGAGCATAGCGGGCTTTCGCTGTAATTGGTTAATTTTTTGTAAATCAATTTGTGATCTTCACGAATTTTATTGGTTGATAAAATTAGGTTTTGTGTAACACGATTAGTAATTAATGAACAAATTGTTCATTGAATTTCTATATCGATTACTATCGATACTATTAATATTTTATTAGCATAAGAAAGCATTATAACAAAATGTCTGCTCAAGAAAAGCACTACAAAGCTGGCCCTGCTGAGAAAAAAGGAAAAAGAAAAGCTAGTTACTGCGATCTGGAGGGTTATGATGATGTCGTCTGCAATTATGATCAGTTTCGCGCCACAACCGTTACAGATGAAGTCGTTGTACCAGAATCAAGCCAACATTTGGATTTAGTTAACAAGGCTTTATGTCGAAAACACTATAACAAGTATATTGTAAATGCAAAAAAAAAGAAAACTAAACTAACTAGTGTTTGCTCTCATCCTAAGCATAATATTTATTTAGTTACAGCTCAAAAAGCAGAAGGAAAGTTATTTGCAAAGACTCCAGAACGACTGACTAGATTCTTTAGACTACCAAAGGAAGCAATGATGTGCCATCATTGCTTATATAAAACAGATACCGATTCAGAATATATCAATTCGCCTGATTATTTGCTACCAAAAGAAAGAATTCTGAAAGAAAACATAAGGCGATTTCAAGGTAGGTCATATGTTTTACGAGGTAATATTTTTTACTCTGAATCTGAATTTCAGGAATTGGAATCCGCGTACCATGAAGTATGTGCAGAGTTCGATGAGGCGAAACTAGGTTGGTTGATAGCTTTTATCTGTTAATATTTTTTACATCACTTTTTTTTTTTACACATCATTTTTTTTTTTTTTTACACATCATTTTTTTCTTTTTACACATCGTTTTTTTTTTACACATCACTTTTTTTTTTTTAGAGTTGATTCCCCTGAATAAGAAGATTAAACTAATGGCAAGAGTGTTATATACAAGACAGCACATATATGACGAAAGACCTATTCTTGATTCTAAAGAGTTTAAGAAAATGCTTGAGAAAGCTAAGCCGTTGCTAAGAGGTTTCTTTGATCAATTGGTGGCTGGGACGAATCCACAAGCTAAGAGCCACATGACTAACGAAAAAAACAAAAAAAGACTAGTTTCATTTTGCTATTTTCTTGCAGGTCTTAATAATAAATTTATTAACGGTGTTAAGGCGGAGGTTGGACTTTTGTTAGATGCATCTGGTGCATCTTCGTCGGCAATTGAGACCTTAGCTGGTGCGGGGATATCAGTGAGGCGTGAAACTATTGCAAGGCAGAAGGCCCAGCATGTACAAGCACACATGAAAACAGTTGGAACATTTTTAACAGAGAATGTAATAATTTTTTTTTTTTTTTTTTTTCAATTAATTAACTAACTTTTATTTTTGGCAGATTAAAAATTTAAATGTAGATGATTTTCATAACACTCATGAATCTCGTCGTAGCGATACAACCAGCACGTATGACATTTCTCATTTTACCACAATACTTTTAAAAGCGTTGCCTGAGATGCCATCAATTCCATTTAATAATCCCAACCAAGAAAAGAGTATTCATAATAATAAGGGAATTGATTTTGATATTATTATTAAAAATGCTAATTCACTTTTTTTTCCTCATTTATGGCTTAGTTATACAGGGCAAAAAATGCGTTTAATAATTTGTTTAGACAAGAAACTCACGACAAATGAGTTGAACATCTTCTTGTTCACAGTTACGATGATAGAATCGAGCAGCGCCAAACAGATCGAAGCATGGAAAATACAAAGCATGTTGATTTAAAAGAAGGATCTCTTCACTCGACCGAAGATTATGTAAACGCATTGAAATCTTTAATCAATATTCCCGAGGCAGAAACTTATTTGAGGACACAAGTTTTAATAGCATCTATAGATTATTCTGGACAACTACATGTACGGCGTGCCATTACTCATCTCCTTAAATCTGATGATTCTTCTGGAATTCCGGAGCAGGCTTTACATATCATTCTAATGATAGGACCTTTACATGTATCCTTAAATAGTCGTGAGACTATGTTTCTTTTAAATTATGATTTTTTTGATATACTTTTTCATGCAGTCTTTGGTTGTAATAAGGTTTTGGCAAAAAAGCCAAAACCTTATAAAATTAATTTAATTTTAGAAATAGCATATCAGGGATGGTCTCAAGTCCATTCTATAGTAATGCAAAAGTTCGAACGTTCTAAAGACCCCGAAGTCCGATATCTAATTAATTTATTAGATAATATTGTCTCTTGGTTTTAGATTTTTATCCCATTATCTTTTGCAGCAGAAATTGGGAAGCATATATTGAAGCAATATTTCGCATTTGGATTGTTTTTTATCAATATCAATGAAGACATTATAATAAATTGCCATTAATGTTTTTAAGTGATGTTTTTTACTGGTTCAATACTAATCACTCTATTTCACAAACTCTCACAGATTTAATTCACGTCTTTAATGATTATTATGTTGAGAATTTCCACAGCTCACTTCAGCGACAAATATATGAATCAAACACAGCAGGTCAAATAAATTGAGAAGCACGAATAATCGATCAGACACGTAGCAACAATTCCTTCATGAATACGTTTGCAGAAAGTCATAACATCAGATATTCGCCAAAGCAACTAGAATATCTTGAAAAACATACTTCACTTTTTTTACTAAAATTTTTTATTAGTGTTTACAGGAATATTGGTGGGTCAAAGGCTATTTCATCTGATACACATTCGAAACCAAAAGCATATGAATTTCTAACACTAAAAGCTCAAGTCGATATAGACATAATGTCAATAGGTTGGAATACAGCACACATTTCACAGAATGATCGATTTTGTGACTTTGAAGATTGCGTGGATTCTAGTGAGGTAGGTTGCATTCTAATCTGTGGACATGCTTATCATTTCGAATGTTTTTTATTTAATTTAGGAAGCCAATGTCAGTATTGTATTGACTACCTTGTGAGTGGAATTGAGAAGAACTGTAAGGCTTTTCAAAAAACCTTAGAATCATTGGATAAAAAGGCAAAAAAAAAAGAATTCAGATAATAGTGAGGTTAATGAAGCCAGCAATGATACTAGTGACGAAAATTTTTTTTTAGATGTGAATGTAAATTGTAGTAATGTAGATTTACTTGTTGAGGGGGCTATAAATTCTTTAGCAAATGTGTAATTAAAATATTGTAAATTTTTTATAATTTTGTATATTATTTATTATTATTTTTAAATAAATAAATTATCATATGTTTCAATCATAATTCTTTATAATTATTATATTTATTGCATTAATTTTATAGTATTAATAAAAAAAAATAAAAAAAAATACATAATTTATTCGTAAAATAATATTTTTACAAATTCCTGCATTTACATATATCTAATCTCACACTTTCGGCACTACGTTACAAATTTAACACCTCTCTTATTAATATT